ACGTCCGTTCACGTGAACTTCCGCGATCGCGGCAAAGTTGCTCCGTTTTCTTGTTGAAGATTTTCGGATACAAGCCTGTATCGCGCGACACGCGCAGTTTGAACGATGTTCTAACACAGCGAGAAAAGTTAGCGGACACAGATCGGAAAAAAGCCTCCGTCACACAATGGAGAATGTACTCTATTGTTGTAGTAAGTTGCTCCGGCAACTTTCAAGTTAATCAACCTGACATTAGCAACTTCCTATCTCTTATCGTCTTATGTTTCTAAAGTTTCTATAGAAGAGGAAATCGGGAAGGTTACATTCAGAAGATTATATACTGTCTATCACAATTTTGGCGTTTCCGATAAATAGTTTCTCTTAAGAAAATATTTCTTTATAAAGTAATATATTGTTAAGGACGATTTACACGGAGTGACTTTACTCGCTTTCAGTAAACGTTTTAGAGCTTCTTTTGATGCTGCTAAAGTTGCTCAGCTATTTGTTTGACTACCAGCGACCATTCGATGCTGCGACTTTAAAATTTTAGACACTAGCGAATAAGAAAAAAACAATTGTGTGGGAGAAGCTTTCATCTGCGAGTGAATTCGCTGACGAATTTAAGAAGCATGTGTCAAGCGAATAAAAGCAGCGTCGAGAAAATTCGCTGACAAATTAATGACGTCATTAGCCGCTGCCGAAAGCGAGTAAAGTTGCTCCGTATAAATCGCCCTTTAGATATCAAGGAAGCAATCGCAACTCAATCCCTTAATATCTCTTTCATATTCATTACATAATTTATTGGATTAGATATCACTTCAGTTTGGCAATCTGTGAGTGACTTATTCTTAATGGACTGTTGAACTAATACTTGCGAAATCTTTATACGCATTGCTGAAAAAGACTCTAAAGAAAATCGAAAAGTACAATCAATAGAATAAATATGACCTAATAAAATAATCCTTTCCGTAAAATAAAAAAAACTTATGACATCACTAACAGTTGTACTCTCCATTAGCCTTAAATTCATTTATTTATTATACTTTTTCTAATTCTTTGTTGAATCAAATAATATTTTTATTTTCAACTTTCATGTGTATCAAAATTTAAATCAATTTCTGTAATTGAATTGCTTAATTCCAAAATAAACAACATACATATTAATATATGCACTTGGCAAATAATAAATTAAATTTAAATAAATTTTAATACATTTTTTAAGTTAAACTGTTTACTCTATTATTTCAGTTAAAATAACAACATATTAAAAAGGATCAATGACGATTTATTATTATAAATAATTTAAATTAAAAATAACTCAAATTATGAATATAACTTTACATTATTAATTTAACAGTGTATCCGTGTTAAAAATTTTGCAACTTATTCGGAGCGGTGGAATATTTCACAAATATTGTACAAATCAAATTTTTATCGAATTGTTTGACAAAGAATTTTGTAAGTTATAGAAATTTTCAGACGAAACACTTTTTAAACGAATGCGTGATTTAATCGTGACAGAAATGTCTGTGAAGTTAAAGCTAATGGATCGAGTTTTCCATTCTGTTATCTCGGTTAAAATATTACGGTATCGACACATGGAGATCCAGGCTCTTCGATAGGCACTTTAACTTGAACGTTCTTCACGATAATTTAAAGCTCACGTCTCTGACGGTGTCAGCCAACAACTCGAGCTATGTTTCGATTTTTTTTTTTTTTGCGCTTTCGCTCTCAGGATCTGCACACGATGTTTCGCTTAACAAAGGCCGATAGAAAAAGTGTTTTTCGCCAGTAGCGGTTTTTATCGATCTTTCACATATATGTATGTTCGTAATTAGGTCAAGAGAATGGAGATGTCTACGAATCGGATCGACCATTATCGAAATCCGTTGCTCGTAAATTTCTCGTGATACCATCGGCAATTGCTGCTGATGCCAGGGCCCAACGACTGTCGATTAGCGGATTAGTATTATCGGCCTCCGTCGTGCCATCATTGGCGTAACGGAACTCAAAGGGAGACATAAAGCTTCTCGCGTTTACGGTCGAAGATATTGCCGAAATCCACAACAATCGCTCTGATTGCATCATCATCGTGATCGTTTAATGGCAATCTTAATTTTATGTCGAGGTCTGCAAAGAATATTACGAAAATCACCTCTTCCTCTTCCATCACCATGACTACCAGGTAATAGCCGCGATCATCATTAATATTTTAAAGCACCTTCGAATTTGTACTTTAATCTTACAATTTAAACGGGAATTTCGAACTACAGTCTCTTAGGTGCCTCTTCCGACGATAAGTCAAAGCGCGCATTAAGCTCCTCGAAAGACAGTAACAACTATTCCCTTTAATGGCGTCAAAGTTGATCGAAATCCTTCCAGCTGTGTCGTTTACGTAAAATCTTAAAACGCGGTGCTTTTCCGATCCATTAGTCTTAACGTACCTTATAAGATTTTAATATTCTAAGAGTGTAATTAATAAAGGACTTTTTGTTCTTTACGCTGACAGGCATGCAAACAACAATTATATACATTTTCTTTTCTCTGAGTTTATTTAACTTTTGGTGTTACGTTGTGATTATGAGAATGTATATAAATTTTCATTTGAAATAATTTGATATATTTTCTTTGTACATAATACGAGTATGTATATACTTGTTTGCTTTTCATTTCCAACATCCAACTCCTTTTTTCGCATTTATATATAATATGCAAATGCTTAATTTTAAAATATTATGTGTAAATTAGAAAAAGTAAATACACAATCAATTATTCAGCAGACATCAACAAACAATTATTAACATTCGTGTTCTACGAGATCAGATATTACCTAATAGCAAATAGAGGAGATTAATATGATTGAAACGAAATAGCGGAAACGTGTTTTATTACGACTTTCCTGCATTTTAAATATCTCGTTCGTCTTGTACAAAACTTAATTATATACATGACGATAAGGCAGAAAATACACTTAACTTTCCGTCTACAATCCAAATCTTTTTTGGCACAAGCGAAATTTCATTCTCAAATTTACTTTTATTTTTGCTCAAATTTTAAATTTTATTAAATAAAAGTTTTAACATTAGACTTAAAAAATCTATTTGGAAATGCAAAAAAGAAATGCAAAAATAGAGATGTTATAAAAGTAAGCGTGAATTTTGTTTAAAAGTCAGAATAGAAAAGTTTAGAACAATAAAAAAATATTGAACTCGAAAAGAAACAGGAAAAGACAGGTTGCCGATAAAAGGAGTAAAAATATGACTGCACATTGAAGGTTAATATTTTAGTCTAATTTAATGTACAAGTCAAGAGACGCAATTTTGTCAGATAGGTTGCCAGCAAAAACGCGGTATGCATTTTCCTTCTCTAAATGTCACGATATACACAATACCTTCGCAATTACACGTGTGATGCAAGAAATCCTGGCGTAGATATTCCGTCGGTTGGAATTATAGACGTGAGATCGTGATAAAAACTGCAGAGAAGCAGGTAGAATTGTATATTTCATTCGAGAGGAAAAGCTCGAGAAAAGACCAACCAGCAGCGCGGCTTTTCGCAAAGCGAAGAGATTAAAAAAGTGCTTGCGAGGCTAAGTATAAAACAGAGAGACGCGTTTCCTAAGTAAAAATCCTCCTTCTTACAGACGCGAACGAGAATTTATGACTGTTTATAGAGCGCAATAAGTTATACGCGAATATACGAACGAGCATCACGTTACGTTTTGTGAAATATTCCGGCCTAGTTTATGGTCTCGCGCTAACGAAACGTAATAAATATGTTTTGCATTGCATCAATAAATACTTCGTTGCAGACTGGACCGCAGTGTCGAGATGGTGTGCACAACGAGCGAATCAACAGCGACTTCGTGATTGTCCGAAGGCGCGAGAGAATACGCGCAATAATAAAAATCAATGGTTCCCGCGGTCAGCTTGTCTGCATTTTTCTGCCGCTTGCAACCATTCTATGTGCGTTGTTACATAATTCTACGTTACTGCATTGCTGCAGTCGGCGACTATGCTCTCTTGCAACGAAAGGCTATCCAACTTACTGAATAGTCTATATTCACATAACTTTGGACTTTATCCCCACAGTCATACGAAATATGACTTTTGGAATAAAGTCCAAAGTTACGCGACATATGAGGTTGGGTTCATAAATTTTACGTGCATTTTCGAAAAATTCGAAAGAAGATAAATGAAACACGATTTAGACTTGTAATCAGTAAGTAATGTGCGCTTTTTCGTTCTCGATAATGTGTTACCATATGCAATTTATTGCTAACATTTTTTTCAATTTATTTATGGCGACAATGGCAAATAGTATCGTAATATAGATAGATATGCATGAATCTATGGATTATTCTAAAAGAAACAGAAACTGTCATGATTAAAAATACAGAAATATCTTGAAAATGTTAATCAAATAAAACCCCGCAAATATAATATTAAACTATTATGAATCTATTACAATATTATATTATGTATAACGTATTTTAAATTTAAAAAATGTAGAAATTCTACTGTAGTTACATAATGTAAAAAATCAATCGGTAAGATTGAATTTTCAATTTAAAGTCAGTTTCAATTCTGTTTATTTTAAGAAGGGATCTCACTTTAAGAAGACAATATTAATTTTAATAATTGAGATATCCAGATTTGAATAAGTTTCGTTACTTTTGTCTAAAAACTTCAATTGACGATGAAAATATTTTGCAATATTTTTGAACATTTTCAGAATTTATTTTCAAATATTATCTTATTAGTGATGCTATTTTATTAGTTTTAAGAAAAATATTACAAATTTTATCCATGTACTTTTGCATTTATTTAATATATTGTCTTTATTATAAATGATACAACTTTTTCAAAAAGACGATTATTCCCGTAGAGAAGTTAAAGTTCCTTACAATGTATTTTATTGGCGTCAGATCACGTCTATATAGTTCGTACAAAACGATACACGATGATTTGAGATGCGATTCTACCGACGATAAAAGCTGAAAAGATGATAGTCGAACTCACCGGACTGTGCTCTGTGCGCGGGTATGGCGGGGGCGGGCGGCAATCCGGCGATGCTGCAAAGCGTCTGTCCACTACCGTACTTAATACTCCTGCAATGACACGGCGTGGTGGGCGTCGTCAACCCCTCGTTGTCCCTGACGGTAGCCCCGATCACCGAGATCTCGTCGAGTTCATGCCCGCTGTCGTAATGGCATAGTCTCGTCGCGCTGGTGCTGGCCCCGCCACCCCCGACGCCGCTATCTTCCCCGGCACCGGCGTCGGAACGACCGCCGCCGGTGCCCCTGCCCCCGGTCCGGCCCCTAAGCGACTGCACCAGTCGCTTGGCGCCTGAAGACATTCCACGGAGGTGATCCAGCCTTCCGGTCTTCGTTTCCTCTTGTCCTAGCCAAAACCGCCCGAGTACACGCCCGGGGATATCCACCTAAAAATTGCACGCTTGTAATCGTTGAGCTATGATGGTATTAAATTGCTGTGTAAGTTGTGTCTGCTCGTGAGAACAGGATTTCCGAAGTTCCAGTTTCCGTAGAAACATTGTGTATTTGAGATCGTATTGTATTGCCAGCGAGATCCATGATCATTTATCGTTTTTCTTTGTATTCCTCCCAGATTTAATTTTTATGTCTGTAGCAAGAAATTTTGCAAACGTTGAAACGCGCACTCTCTGTGTGTTATACATATTTTATACAAATGATTTTACTGTATCTATTTTATTAAATTATATTATTTTATTAAAATATTATAATATTGTAATTAAATTGAAGTAAATTGTAATTTATATTTTATTATTCTATTTTATACTATATTATTAACGCGCGCACGATTTCAATACTAAAAGTATCATGCGATCATTATTGATCGTTTCTATTTTTATTTTAATATTACATTTTTTGTGTAAAAAATAGGATTCTGAAATTTTTAACTTTTTAATATTATATCTATGTGGATGAAATATTTGGGTTTTTCATTACTCAAAAAACCCAATTTCATTTGAGTTTTTTTATCTTCATAGTAATTTATTTGCTTGGTCCTTTTAGGCCCGATTTTACCAATGTAAGATTAACTTTAATCTCGGTTTATTTTTTATTTTATTTTAGTTCACAAAATCAGAAAAAGATAAAAATAAATTAAACCAAGATTAAAGTTAATCTATATTGATAGAAATGGATATCAGAGAATAAAAAACATTGATACTTCTAGTGTCAATTTTCACAATTTTTTTCAGATACTGGACAGAATTTATGCAGCAATTTAATACAAATAAATTTATTATAACATTTATAATAATCACACAGTCGATAAACGATCTAAATTGTAATTAACAGATTACTGAATGGTTCCGTCTGACCGTACAAAGCTATATCTACTTGTCGCGCCAAACAGAGTATGAATGATTGCTTTGAGAAACAAATCACTCACACAAGATTGAAATTCACCGGTTTACCTGAAGCTATGTAATAGTTTGGCTTGTGCAGAATAAAAATTTGGCCATTTTTAGCTCCGACAGATCATTTTTGATAAATGATCAGTCGGACACATCTCCTTTAGTCTCTACCTTTTCATCTTATCGATTTTAACTAGAAAGAAGCAAAGCGCTGTGCTTAAAAGAATATGATAACTTTGATAATACATGATAGATTGCCTTTCATCTTCGCGTTCATATATCGTGCTTTGAAGAGAAAAAATATACTACAACGTATGAAATATTTCGCATGTCGATAAAAATGTTAAAATTGTTACAACTCATTGTCAGAAGTAGATGGAGATAAAAATGTAAAAGTTATAATCAAAACAAAAAATTTAATAGAATAATTTTGGTACGTTAATATAGGTGTTAATATAGCTGTTTACATGTTGAACGATATATTCTTGTTTATGGAAGCAAAGTACAACGACAATCTTCGGAGAGATTATTGGGATTAAAGTCCAGATGCGAAAGGTCCCTAGGTCGTTTCTTACACAATACATAAGACACAATACTTAAGCTGGATGGTGAAGATAAGAGAGAAGGACGATGATACCCTTCTATTCGATATGAATACGGGGGAAAATTAAAATAAATTCAATACAAACATTTATTTAACGGATGGATATGTAAAAAATATTCTTTGAAATAATATTTTATGTAAAATATTTGAAATAAATATTTTGCGTCGTAAATATAAAAAAGGCAAATAATGTTAATGTAAATGTAAATATTAATGTAAATAGTAAATATAATACTATTATATTTACTATTATATATTACTACACAAAATACACTCCAAATATTTTTATAAGCGCATCCTTTAAACAAATATCTATTATATTAATTCAATTTAAATGAATGTATATTAGATAGTAGTTCAACATCTTAACACTCGGACCGGTATAGGTCCGCGCTTCGTATTTAAAGTTTAAATATCTATTGCATCTAATATTTCAATTCTTTCCCTACACTGAAAGTATCTACTATTTGAATACAATGAAAACATTTACTATTTTTTCCACTATTTTCCCTAGCACTCCACAAATATAATGTACTCACCACGTGGTGATGCCGCCCCGCAGTGGTAGCTCTGCTCTCTGCTGACTACGTGTACCGCCAACGGTAACGCCGCGCACGATCGCGACCGGTGTCACCGAGCGTAGCACATGATCGCTTTCTCTTGATCCTCGGCACGATTTCGATCCGGCACGCGGGCCACGCGTCTCGGCACTCCGCTTTCGTACTCCGGTTCCGCGCTACCGATTGTTATTCGAGCCGCTCGAGCGTTCGTACGCACCGACAAGAAGAGCAGCGACAACGGCCGACCACCGAAGGAGGTCGCACGACGATCGGCGGCATGCCAAGTGACACCCGTCGAGCACGTCGCTTTCGGCACCGATCGTTTGACAGGCTAACGATCACTGTGCGTCGCGATCGTGATGGTGGCGACGGCACGCGTACACTTTTTGCGAACGGTAATCGATAGGCGTACGAGGCACGCGTCGCTCGCCACGCGATCGTCTGCGACCGTCCCGTCGAGCGACATGCCGCGGTTTACGGTCGACCCGATGGCGCGTTCACCAATGGAACCCTCGTCGGCGTCGGCACACTCTACGTACTCTCGCTTCTCCGCGATACCGGTGACAAACGGGGTCCGTGTATCTCTTTCGCAATCGGGGAAATACCCGGTGGCCCGATATCGACGCCGACAGACCCTCTTTAAGGGACGGCCGACGTGCAACAAGTGTCTCGAGCGACGACACTCGTCTCACGTGCCGCTACTGCGCTCTCGCCTACTCCACGTTCAACCACTCTCGCTGATACACTCGATACTCCGCGTTCGATCCAACGACGGTTGGAGACTCGTCTTGGAAGTACGTAGACACAGCGCGACAGTATCTGGGGAGAACAGAAAAAACAAAGGTTATTTAATGAACGATGGGTCCCAGTTGGAAAAATACGTTAAAAGATATTAGTTCGCATTGTTTTCACAAATATATTGATGGGTTTCGAAAGTGTGAGCGGGTATTATTCCCGAAGAAAATCGGTACGGAATATTCGTGAATTCTCTGTATGTGGACTAGAAACCTCTTCTTAAGGGCTAAGTGCTCGACGTTGATGGAGAAGTAACGAGCTGGAGATTAGGATATGGCCCACTCGAAATTGCTAATATCGATTATGCCGAACCCCAAGTTGTACGAAGAGGTTCATACGTTCGTTAGACTTAGATTAATCTCAAGGGAACTGGAGCAGCAAATGGGTCGTAACGGTCTAACATCTTCAAACATTCAAATTGTTCTTAGACTAGATAGATTCTCTATGCGTATGAGATATATTTATTACACTTTACATAGTTCAAAGTGATGATCAAAATAATATTGTGTCAATAATTACAACTTAGTACAAATATATTGAGACGAAAGCATGATCAACAACAACAATCGATTGATCACTTTGATGAAATGAAGTTGAATTGAATGGAGAATCATATATGAAATAATGTGAGTTAAGACCCGCTTTGATCAAAAGTGGCTTTTTTCTCTTTTATTTATTCTTAAACCCTTCTCGATTTATTTCACTTAATATTGTTTATTAAATTTATATTTTTTTCGATAGTTACTAAAATATTTTCTTTCAGATTTCTCTTTTGCGATTTTTCTTCTTCTATTCTATACAACTGCAAGGCTATTTTTAAATTAGTTTTGAACTAACCCATTGATACATGCATGCATCTTGTCGGATGACGAGATGATGGATGCATCGTGACATTAGCTGTACATCCATTTTGCAACTCTGCACATTCTGCAACCCTACACAGCGGGATAGAGGTACAAATATGGACAGAGAGGTTACAGTAAAGGAGAAAAGGCATTGTACGTATTATACATATATGAGAATAGAACCAAGCAGTTTGTGGATATGGGGACATTGAACTGTCGTCAACTTGACGTATTATTTTGCTCCCTTATTCTCGTGCACAAGAAAGACAGGGTACTCAATCGTTTGACATTGCGACGCGAAAAAATGCCCCTGCGATATTTCGTATTACAACACGAGGCGACTTGTTCTCGCAGGAAACGGATTTCCGCACCAACGTTTTGCTTCATTTATCAGAAGTTTTGTCTAGACGACGTGAAACTGCCAAGAAGACGGATACACGAGAAAACTATATAATATCTTTAAAATTACAATAGTGTATTGTACGTAACGATATTTTTATTCGCAATATTTTGTACTATGTAAGTTACAAGTGATTAGCAATGAATTTGTTAAAATATATCTCGTTTTCTAATGGATGATTGATACTGCTGTGCTATTTCGCTTTCTTATGAAATGAATCGATAAATAATTAATCGGCGAAAGGTGACACTCGACCTTCGAGCAGCGCGTTAAATTGATTTCGCATAACAAAGAACAATGGCTGTCGCATACGGGATGAATATTAGGAGCCCTTGCACAGCATCGGATAAATTATGTAGGCAACGAGAGTCTGGTTTTATTGCCGGCGGGATCGTCGTGCCTCTGCAATCCAGGTGTAAACTCGACGGCTCTCTCATATGGAAATCGTAACTTGAAAGTATAATATGGAAAAAAATATCCGTCGGTGGTCTACGTTACCAGAGCACGTTTGTTTTAGCTTATAAAAATTCCGGTGAGAGTCGAAGTGTATTTATCCCGGGGAAGTATTAAGTCTGGAAAGTGCGTTAAAAGTTTACGGGGTTACGGGCGTGCTTCGATAAATTATCCGTTAAGACTTTTTTCTTAAAAATTTAGATGGAAATCAGGTATATCCTAAGCCGACCGCTAAATAATACATACTAGCCAAAGTTTCAGTGCAGTTTTTATAATTTTATATTTTATCAGAGAAACGAGTCATGAAAATTATTTTGTCATAGAAACGAACATCTAATCGGAAATAAAAGGGACGTTTCCATCTACCGAAGTAAATAGAATTTCAAATGGAATTTAATACGTAATGCGATGCGGTGCAATTTGATACAAACCAAGGAAAATAAATATAAATTAACGTCGCACGCTCCATTCAGAATAAATAAATTATCACGTTCAGAGTAACGCTCTATGGAGCAATCTGTAGTACTTACTTGCAGTTTTAAACTCTAATATCTTAGTTCATGACTTATGTTAGTGTTTAATCAGAGCGGTGTGTGCCGTTGTGACGTATTGCTTCGAATTGCTTTTATGTTTATAGCTTCATAACGATGCTTAGGAGATTCATCTATCATGAGAGTGACAATACTGTGCAATTTATAAGACGCCTTACAAATTACAATACAAATTGCAGGATACCTCAAAAGATATTTTTAGAAAAGATAGTACTTATTAAATTGGATTTGTTTTTATTAATTAAATAAATTTTAAAAATTATATCAGTGGCTTAATGACATTTTATTTATAGTCATTAAAATCGATAGTTATGAAATATCTATAACAAAGCATAATGCATAATTTAAATTGTTCATATTCTGTTTTTGTTACCTATTTGTTTAATTTATTAGCAAGTTATTCATGCAATATGGTCCAGCTGAAATCTGTTCCGACTTTCTGTCGAAACTTGCCGAAAATAAATCGTATACGATGCATATTCCCGCTAAAAATATTCCACAATGAAAACGGGTTATTTGTTTGCAACGACCGTCATAAACTGTACGACTCCATTTCCCTGATATTTTTTCAATTGCATTTGCGCGCAGTGCGCGCACACGATCGGTGTGAAACGTGATAGTTGATCGATACCGGAAAGGTTTGACGAGATTTTTTTACATTACGATGTTCGAGAAAAATGCGAGAACCACTGTTTAGTGACAAATCTTTTTCTGATTATTCAATTCATTCTGATTTTTTGCGTCTTACAGTACGATACTATAATACTATTATACACGTAAAATTAATATATTTTCGCTCTTATTATAATAAATAAATCTCTTATGGTAGGAAGTATATTTTGTTTATTTATTTGATACAGAAGGAATCGGAAAAGTCATATTGTCTAAATTTCTTGAAGTAAAATTTCACTCCAAAAGAGTTAAAATACTGCCACTATTAAAAAAGAGTGAAAAATTTCTTTAAATAAAAGTGATTTTCACTCTTTTTTTAAAGTGAGTTTCCACTTTTTGGAATGAGATTTACTTCAGAAAAGGAGTGAGATTTCTTTCCTTTAGAGTGAATCTCACTCTAAAGAAGAGAGCAAAAAATCTGCCACTTTGATTAAAGAGTGCAAATTTTCACTCTTTTTTAATAATGGCAGTATTTTAACTTTTTTGGAGTGAGATTGCACTCCGAGAAATTTAAGAGGCAAGATCCTATATTTTCGCCATAGTTTTGCTGTTCGCGTAGCACGAAAATTACCGCGAATTTAACTTGCCCGTAGGTGCATCGACCGAGAAGCGAAGGATTGCGTACTGCGACGTTACGACGACGTACATGCTCTGCGGCTGCAAATGGTCGTGTGTTGTCGTCGCCGACAATAAATGCAGACACTGCAGTTTCTCACTTTACGATCGATGTGTCGATGTGTTAGCGCATTTATGTCGGTGCGCCACAGCGTTGGCTGATTGCAACGAGATGCAGCGCGACGCGCAGCGACAGACGAATGACTTGCTGCGATTCGACCCGGCTTCTGTACATACATACATACATACATACACGTTGAATGAATCAGAACGGAAATCTCCAATTGGCGAGAATTGCGCGAGAATGTGTAGTGAATTTTTTACAACGTATCGATTCTATCGTTAATGGAAGTGCCGATTTTTCGCTTTTTTTTAATAAGGATGCAAAAGGATGCTATCCGATGCGTACCGTCGTGTAAGCGATATTTGACAAAAATTATCGTTTATCGCGCGTACGTCGAATCATTTGCATCGCTGGCATTCCGATCCATTCGATTATTCAAATTTGATAACTGTTTGACCGAAGCGGAAACAGCTCTCGAATTGACTCCAACTTGCGCCGTGATATTATTCTCATATTTTTGCATAAAATCCAGCTTTTGCGATTGAAAAGAACGACCGCTGTAATAAACTACGGTTTGGATGATAAGCAGAATTTTTGGAAATTATTATTTGAAAAACGCAAATAAAAACTAAATGATCTCGTCGCGTTAATTCAACTCACATCGGAAGACTTTCGTTTTTTCATTGTCGAGTACATACTCGAGATCGTATTGTAATATTATATTTTT